AAAAAAAAAAAAAAATTTAATCGTGAAACATTCGTGCATTTAGATACAGGTTAATTACATTGGCTTAGCCTGAGAATAGGGGAAAAACTAATCAAATTCACACGTACCCTCAAGAGGGAGGGTACTTATTTGGTAAATATAATACCTTAAAGTTTTCACGGGAACACTTAAGAGGTCACTTGCAGTTTTGATACTAGAGTTTTCGTAATTAGATGATATCAGCGATCATACGTGCATATACCATTTATTACATAGTCTTTAATGTATTTCTATTAAATAATATTACCCTTATATATAAAAAAGTGATTACAACAGCAAGTTGCACGAATGAAAACCCGATGATCGAAGTAATAACAAGGTGAAATGCATAAATCGTTGTGTTCATTTACAAGGGAACACCAAACAGAAGAGGACACAAGTCAAATGATTCACTTCCATTTGCAAGAATCAGCACGGATATTGTAAAAATCGTGCGTGTGAGCAATAAAGGCACATAATTTTATGACTTAGAGACAAACACTCTACTACGCGATATATCTAAGTGTCGATTCTAGCAGACCCTATACCCTCTGCACTTTCAGGGACAGGTCCATACGAGTCTTCTTTTCCAAGGTAACACAACAAAAGACTTATTTAGTACAAAATTACTTATTGATATATCTAGTTGTCAGCTGACATGCTTTATACCTTCTCACAATGAGCAAACTACGGGGTGAGAGTACTTTATTTCCAATATGACTAGTAAACTATGTTCTGCCATTTACACCTACAGGTCATTAACTTCACATTACAGAGAACCGAAATATTTTGTCCACTTTCTTTTTCTGAGACAGCTAAATTATTCAAATTGATGCGGCATGTATACATGTCCTGCAGCAAGCAAGGAACAATCCCAGATTCCCAGTTTTCTAAACTTCTTCACATTTCAACAATTATAATACGGCCTACTTTGTTCCAATAGTACCATTTGTCCTTACATTGCAACTAATCAATGTGGGACAAACATAAATTCTAACATGAGGCATGTAGAGGAAAGTAAAACACCAATATTTACTTTACCTTTCTGGTGGTGGCTCAATTTTCCATTCAAACAATTTGTAACTTCCAAAGGTGTCAGGGAGATGTATATGACTTCCATTCAACTTGAATATTATATCCTGCAAAAACAGAAAATTATAAGCCTAAGCCCTTGGAATGAAATTATTCTAAAATGTCCAGTAGCTGTAGAAGTTTATACTGTGGCGGTAGCATTAGAAATAAAATCAGCAGATTCTGCTGGGAGAACAGCCCATCTTATAAGTGTATCGTTATCTCTTGAAGTAACATTCATAAGTTGGACCTGCAAAAAATCATCTTAAAACTGAGTAGCAGCCTGAAAATCGGAGGGGTGGTGTGCAAGGAGCACAGCTGACAACCATATCAGCTGAAACAAAATTAAACTAATTTAGCTACAAATTCCTACCTGAGAAGAATTAACATGTAACTCCTTCGCAATAGACTGAGCAAGTTCTGAGATATGAGGCTTTAACACTGGGTACTTCACGGCCAATAACATATAAAAGGTTATTAAACCTATTTTGATTTCCCCTGCAAATCGGAGACACGTCAAATATCTGCTCATCGTCTACATATTAAAAAACCATGAGCTAAATTGGTCTATCAACAAGAATCATGTGAAATAGAGGTTAAGAAAGGTAAAACTAGTGAGGAAGCTAGTAACACGAAAAAAACAATGAGCCAAACATAATGAACTATTTCAAGCGTGCATTTTGATTAAGATTTGCATTGCACCCTCCTTGAATACTAAAAGACTTGTCTGGGAACTACTAGTTGGGATAAAAGGATTTCATCCCAATTCCCACGCAAAGTTAAACTCAGCAGAACCGAACTCCCACGCACGGTTTGGTAGGATCCCCATAGTCATGTCTTCATTACTCTCGTGAGGTTTTTCATCATCCAAGCAATAAGAATCAAACTATTTCCACAGAACATGCCCTACACAAAAGCCCAATTCCTAATTCCTAATCCAAATTGACAAAAGGAATGATGAGGGGACACTATAACTGAGAATAGGAAATCATGATAACAGAGTTTCAACTTTGTTCAAGCTACGACTTTGTTTCAACATCACAACATCTTAGTAGATATTTCAACACTTTCAGGGGTGAAGAACAAAAATAGGAAGTGAGCAAAAGTAGGTTAAGCCATCATGTTTTGATTGATGATAGGTTAAGCTAAGGAGGTATGTCATTCAAGCTATTTATCCTCAAGAAAATAAGCAGCTTTAAACAAAAGGCAATTTGAAAATGACGTCAAACAAACCTCGAAGACTCACTTCTTCAACATGTAGATTCAAAGGAGGTACACTAGAGGGTAAATAGTAATATAATATACCTGGACCTATGGGCGGCGAAGGCTCTGCAGGAACCACCGAAGGGCTCGTATCCATGGTTGAGTTCACTTCATCTGTGCCAGAAGATGGCGGGGGAGGGGCAGTGGATGGGTGAAGTCTTTCCCATAATTCAGAGCAGTTAGTTTTCCAGAAACCAATCTTTTCATGTTCGCGGTCATAGGTTACAAAAGTATTCCGAACAACAATACCTGGCAGAAAAAAATAATGAAAACTGCACTTGTTCAACTGTAAACCTTAAAGAAGTGACAAACAGTACCTCCCAAGAGAGTGGTTGGATCTTTTCCATTCTGAAAAATTCCAAGGCAGTAAGCACCATGCACCTTTGAATGCTGTACATCAACAAATAGCGTTTAATGTCCCAGAAAGGAAATGGTATTTCAGTGTCAAAAGCAGAGCAGGTAACAAAATGATAGGTAATAATACACAGGTATTTGTTGTATTTATAACAGAGAAACGGATTAATGTATTTCAGTGTCAAAAGCAGAGCAGGTAACAAAATGATAGGTAATAATACACAGGTATTTGTTGTATTTATAACAGAGAAACGGATTAATGTGATTCAAGCGCAAGCCCTTCAACAATCAGAAGTGAAAAAAGCACATACTCTGAACAAGTAATTTTCAGGGGACAACAAGAGCTTCTGTCCATGGTCGAACACCATTTCAACTGACGGAAAGACATTCGAGAGTTGTGCAACATCACTGAAGCAACAGAGGTATTTAACATCACTTAGGCAACTCAAAAGTACATAACTGAAATCAATTACTATCTGGGGATGACAATCTTATTACCTTCCAGCACCTGAGAAACAGATATCATTGTAATTAGGATCTGGACCTTGTATTCTCTTTAGGGTATGGACTTCCTTAAATATCTGCATTCCAAAATGGGGAACTTAGAAAAGGAACATATAATAGAAGCATTCAGGTAGATGAAAGTGTTGTAATCCACAAAGAGTTTATCTTACAGCGTCTTTGAATGCTTTAAATGCCACCTCCGGAAAGTATGCGTATGTTGTGCCACTATCCAAAACAGTTCCATGTTTACCATTAAAAATCCTGGGAGTAAGAGAGAGCTTCTTTCCAGCAACATGTATCTCCCTCAGCTCTATATTGTAATATGGACTGTTGCCATCCCGAAACTAGAGTAAATGTGGGAGATGTACCAAGGGTACTTGTTAGGAAAGAGCCTAACACTCCATTGCATTACTACAACAATCTTCCAAAACATACCTGCGCACAGGGTCTGAATGGGCAAAGACCATATCAGCAGGAGATGATATTCCTCCAAGAACCATTGCCCCACCACCCACATCCATTCCGCCGTAGCAAAGGGAAAATGAATCGCTAATTACACCCTTCTCAACAAGTTGATCCACAATACTAAGATCCCCTCGACCTAGACCCATTATACCATCAGCATGCTGACTGTAAAGGTCACCTGTTTCCATATTCTCACAACCAAAAACAGCCCGTTGTGGCTCTAATTCACTTTGGTTTCCAAACGACACAATATCCTCACCCAATACCCCACTGCTAGAACTCATTTCTGCATATTGTCTTTCATAAATACATTGCTCTCTGGCATTATCACAAGCACAGTCAATGTTGCACTTGACAGGTTGGTAGGTGCTTGACAAATCTGGTTTAAATCTTGGATCCTAAAAACAAAAGTAAACAAAAAAGATTGCAAACAAAATGGAAAAACACAATAGATAAAAGCTATTTTTGGAGCAGTGTGGAATAATTAAATGAAAGCGGGAGAGTGTTTTTAGCATTTTTCAGATACTATCCAATACATCGAAGGGGTGGATCAAATCTAATAAAAAAAAAATGAAAATACTATTACTTATTATTACTGGCACATATCATTCCACAGTATAGACGAAACAACTATCACACGATTAAAATCTAACAAACAGAGATGGCAGTCTTTATCCACAAGTTCTTACATTCTACAACAGAACAGAGGGCAGACAATGATTTCACAAATGAAATTCAGCACATACCCATTTTAATAGAACTTAAAAACTAAAACTTTCCGTTCTCCCAAATAGCTAGTGACACAATATTGATGGCAATGACATTACTTTTCTTTGTCCACCCATTTTAATACCCCCCACCCTCCATTTCTTTTAAAGAATTCTATTCGTGCGTACAAATTGGATAGGGACTATGCAAGTAATATTGGTCCATCTACGTCCATTCGACAACTTTAATATGCCTTTACGTACATGTTGAACAAAAAACAGTCACACCAATCATAAAAACCAAAAGTACGAAGATTGATGCACAAGATCTAACAGCATTGTTCAATCAGAAACACAATAATGAAATTCAACATCACAACAATGGGATCTAAAGACCTGATGCTTGCCACACTGTTCGCAAGTGGAGCAGGGAACATACGTCACGGTGCTGCCGGTATCCACTATCAAAGCAAATCTCTGCGGCGGAGACCCGATCCACAGACGAGTTGTGTAATACCTGCAAACACCGCGGTCACGGCACGACCCGTCAGCACACAATTTCGGGTCCAGATCTCACCTTCACATAAGCAATACTAAAAATTAACAACAAAAAATTAGAAAAGCAAAGAAAAAAATATAAGCCGCCGGAGACCCGTTGAGGAGGAGATCGTCGTGGAGGGGCATACGGGCGCTACGGCCGAGGAGATGGCGCCGGGAATAAAACCCCTCCCTGTGGCGGCGGTCGTCGGGGCTGTTGAAGAACAGAGGTAGAAACATGGCGGTACTGCTGTTACTATCGCGATTGAGTGAAATTATTTGATCACCGCGCGATGAGGTATAGAGCGGTGTGAAGGCGGTGGCGGAGGATAGCATGGTGAGAATAAATATTGCCCAAGCCATCGTGGGTTGAATTGGCCGGGCGGATCGGCCTGAGGTTGGTTGAGAGCTGCAGCGCTGACCGGAAAAGAGACGGAAAAAAGAAGAGAGCTGTAGAAAATGCTCCCTGCGCCTGCGCGATGTTTTACGACCAGGTGATAAAATACTTTTTCCTATTCCTTTTCCTTTAATGTGGCCCGGCCCGGCCTGGCCCGGCCCAGAACGGTCCAATTCAGGACGACCTAGAGTTGGGATCGGCTAGGTTGCAAATGAGTCGAGTCGACATGGACCTTGTCGAGCACAGATCAATTTTTTTTTTCTCTAACGTTCGAGCTCCATCTTGAGCTCGACGAGCCATATAAATGTTGCACGACTCGACTCATGAAAAAAAAAAATAAGAATTCTCGAGCTCGATACGATTCTAAACATGGCTCGAGTTCGATTCGAAGTTTAAAACTAAATTTTATATATAAAAGCACTACTTTTATAGTTAATTGATAATTTTGGCCTCACTGTTCCAATATTGATAATTTAATTATATAGGGTATTTATGTAAATAGAAAGTCAAGTTGCTCGTTGAGCTTACGAGCTTCTTTAAATGATGATCGAGGTTCGATTTGTTTGCTCAATTTAATTGCTCAAGTTCGACTTGAGCTAATGATGCCCGAGGCTCGATTGAGTTGCTCGAGCTCGAGTCAAGCATTGACTCAAGCACTCACGAGCGGCTCTTGACTCGCTCAACTCATTTGCAACACTAGTCGGTGGATCATTGTGACTGGATAACAAAGGTGTCGGACAAAACTTGATCAATCTTCGATTGTTTAAATCCGAGAAATTATATTTGTTATTTATTTTTCGCAATTTGCAAAAATAAAATTATATATATAACATTTATGTAGTAAATATTTATGATGAAATTTAAAACTATTAAAAATTTTTATATTTAGTATTTGCTTCTTTTATTATATATAATTATAATATTAAAACAATACAAATATAAATTAAAATTAACTACTTCGTTCAACAATCAACTCGGTAACTCAACAGTTGAATTAGTGGTCAGCACAAGTCAATTATCAATTCAAATTTTGGAAAAATATTCACGTTGATGACTTGTGTGGAATCCAAATTCATCATCAAATTTTGTTTTCCTTTGTCCATGTTATGGTCTTGACCATATGTCTCCATAACTCATTTCTTTGGTTTTGAATCTCGAGTTTTTGTCTTATCATTTCACTGTCGTGATCTCTTTTCGCTAAAGTATTATTAATTCTAAAAAAAAAATCTTTATATATTGTCTTTACAACAACAAACACCTCTTTTTTTTCTCTGTTTAATTTTGATTTTGTAATGCCTTTTAGTTGTTGCAACGATGAACCGCCACTAATATTTCATTGCTTATATTAATAAGTAAATTAGATATCTCTAGATTAGGTGAAATTGGGGACTCTAGGAGCCCAACAACATGAAGTCTTTTATAATTGACCACACATGCTCATACTTGAATGCGTGATTGTTTTTATTTTTAGGGTCCTACATAAATAGTATATTTGCATTATCCATCTACTCAGTGAAAGTAATGAAATACTATTAAAAGATTATTAATTTATCAAAAACATAATTAAATTATATGAAATTTTTTTACAACATTATGTTCGGATCTACTGATGTTAGCATTTTCAATTAGTTGTACAAAAGATTTAAACCACTTCACAATAATATTGATATTACCCATGCAACATTGAATTGATCCCAATATTGATATTACCCATGCAACATTGAATTGATCCTGTTGACGATCTGGCTACATTGAATTTGATTTTTTGGAATTATACTTGTTGGCGACACGGTCCCAAATTTGACCTCTATTTTGGTTCATGCCCACCACTTGATCTTGAAAAATTTATATATATGACCGACATAGGTGTTGATTTTCGTCAATTGTGTAGTTGGTCCCCATTAGGCACAAGAGACTAAGAGAAAATTGGTATACACTTGAGAGAGTTACTTTCGTGTGTTAATGGTGGTACAATATGTACTGAGAGGCGGCCTATTAATAGTGGTATATAATTTTATTTAAATTTTTAAAACTTATACAGTTCATAGTTTTTATAAAGATATCATGTTTAACAACACAAATTAAAAGTTCAAATTTTTATTCGTATCTTTGTGAGAGAAAATAAGACAAGGTGATATAAGATAAGATAAGAAAATTCAAATTTTTATCCTTTTGTATAATAATTCATTTGGAAGATAAGATTTGAAGGGTGATTTCAATGTATCTCATCCTATTGTCTAAATTTATGATGGAAGATTTTCTGCAATAATATTTAATTGGGCCCTTTATATCTATAGTATCATCATTATTAACTTTTTTCATTTGAACCAATATGAATCTCAAATGCACTTCTTGTGCATTTTTCTATTCCAGTTCATCTGATGATGAACTAAAACAACTTTTAAATAATTACGATGTAGAACAACAATTGATATGTCAACAAATTTACAATAGTAATCTTCTCATCCAAGAACTTCGCGAGACACAATATTTTGGCCGGAGGCATGGAGGTATCTTCAGTGATCGCGAATCGGTAATTGATCGTCTTTGATATAGGATATTATCTGTATAAAGACGAGCCGATTTGGTGAGCCGGTCGAGAAGAGCAGACCGGAAGCGAACCAAGAAGCGAACCAAGCCGAAAGGCGGGAATCCACGGGATCGAGCGGCCAAAGGCTCGACCACACAAGCGATCGAACAATCCAAAGCTTGACTGCACAGGTGATCGAGCACCCCGATGCTCGATTAGACTGGTCGAGCTACCCGTTAATCGATCAGACCAGTGATCGAGCAAGCTGAGTGATCGAGCAAGCTGA